TCCATTATTTTGCTTGTTTGTTAACTTCGCCATGCTGATGCATCCAAAAGATCTTCCGATGAAAAGTTTGTGTACTTACTAATCGAAGTACCTTTTTCGTTTTAAACTATTCATTTCATTCTACAAATAGGTCAACATGAACCTGAGTTAAGCATCTAAAACTCCGAAGTTGAACCTTTTAGTGGAGTTGAAACTGCAGTTTTATTAACATATAGTTGAGTTGAGTTCAGATTTTTTCAACTCACAATTTCGTTGCGGATTTTTTACAGCTCCGACATTTTTTTGTTTCTTTTTATTACATTATTTCACATGTTTTTGTTATAACTGTGATGATATTCATTCATGGCTAAATTCAAATGAAGTAAAAGAAAGAATTTTATCTCCTAAACCCTAGGACTAGATACGCTTGCAAAATTGCCCGACAGCCTGAAAATCTGAAATCGAGTTTTTCCTGGGTAACTCGATGAACGCTATCCAACCATGGAAAAAAACCGAAAAAACAAAACATGATGTCGTTTTGATTTGTCGGCACCTTATCAACACTATTTGATTTCTCTCATTTTGCAGGCATATTCTTGCACGTATACCACATCACATAAACACACATCCTTAGCTATGAGTAGAATTTGAACAATAATAAAATTTCCTTTTGTTCTGATAAAAAAAGTTAAAGTACTGGCAGTAAAATCCAGCTTCAGCAGAGATCTCGATATGAATAGGACAAAAGTTAAAATAATTGAGATTAGTTATGAACTAACTGTAAAAGAAAATGTTTTATTCAAAGTACAATATGTTCATTTGTTTCATGCTCGAAATACTGGTTGATGGGCAAATGTTTTTAAATACAATATTTTTAGAAATGTTCAACTAAAGAATCATTTGAATATCCTCTCTTCGATAGTCCATTTTTTATTTGCGTATCCGGTTCATTTGTATTATATGCATGCGTTTCATTATCATCGTTCTGAGTGAAAACTAAAACAAATAAAAAAGAAAATAAAAATTCAATGAATTTTTCACTTTATCGATATAGTTTATATAATACCTTGATTTGTATGAGTATTACTATAATCGTGATCTTGTTGGATTACTAGAGGTGGAATAGTTCCTCGTTGTTCATTAAGGTAAATTTCATCTGGTGCACGATAACGATATTTATCAATCAGGATGCCTACGCCATAAAGAGCGAATATACCTGTAAAAGTAAAAGAAATATTCGTATTTTAAATTTAACGGTACACGAATTATAGATCAAAAAGTAGCTTACTTGCCATTGCCAGAATACCTCCGAGTACCTAAAATTAAAATTAAATATTTTTTTCTTTCATTTTTAATCTATATGTACGTTTCCTTCATACATTTGGCCAATATTCAAGCCAAAGTGTTCGAAACGGTGCTCCATGTAAATTTAATAAGGCTTTGCTCACGAGATGTTGACTCTTATTTTGTTTATGAAAATGGTAGATACCATTATCATTTGAATTTATGTTCTTAATTATGAGTGTTCCATTTGTTTTTAATTCATATTTGTCATTATGTATTGAATTTGCCACATTTAATTGTTGTTTTGACGGTGTTTCCCAATAACAATTCTTTGGATCATCACAAAGACCAACATTCTTAAGTGGAACAAGAGACACGGTACTACCGTATGGTTCATAGTACATCCATGCATATCGATCTATTTTCGATTCGATACGAGATGATTGAAAACAGATTAGGAATAGAAATTGATAAACAGCATTCTAAAACATGAAAAAATTGAATGGTCGTATATGTTTACAAAAATTATTTAGTGTGAATTAATTTAGATTATCGTCATATGAGTCACATAATCGTTAATTTATGATAATCATGTAGTAGAAAACGCAAGAACAAATGGAGTATTTTTTTTATTATACTCTAATTTATTCTTGAATGCAAATGAATGACAGTAAAGGCAACTGTTGCACGGTATCAGGTGGTGCATCTGCTTGATTTGATTATGATTCAAGAGACAGTGATACATGGTCAGATAAATAAGATTTTAATTGAAAAAGTCTTCTTATAAAAGCATATAAGATCTTACAAACCCAGTACATAAAAATTGATAAGGTCCTGCACGATCGTACGATAAGAAGTCGTTCGATCTTGACATAATATCGTACTAGGACATATGAACTCTCATTGTATGTTATTACAATATTTAAACTTTTTAATTTTATATCAAGTATCCGCAGAAATTCGCAAGTA